GCCGCGCATCATTCGGAACGGAGTTACGAGGTCCTCCTCCTGTGTGACTGCTCCACCGGCTAGTGTAGGGGAAACACGACAGTACCAACTAGAGGTCGTCTGGTAAAGTGGCATGTGTGTAGTTTTACGCGCTGAAGGTCCGGAGTTCGAGTTCCGTTGGACGTTTTTGTTTTGCAGCGGTAGTCCATAAATCAAAAATGATCCACAAGTGGTCAATCACGTCTACGTGCATTTTTGGTGAGGAGGTTATCATAAATCGAAGATGTTCTGCCCCGAGCTGGTCGTTGCTTATCTAGCAATCTTTGGCTTTTGCGTCATTATAAGAGAGCCATCGCGAAAGAAGCAAAAAGTGATTATTAGCTTTACGTACAATCTGCGTAAACAATCACAGAATCCACTGTTAGGCTGACTAATAAACACTTTGAAGGACTTGCAAAACGAGAATGTGCAACAAGAATATTGAACCCCGGACCCTTAGCGCATGAAGCGAGACACTCGCCACTTTATTAGACCACCCCTCCTTGTTGTTGTCGAGTTTCCCTATACTAGCCGGTAGAGCAGTGACGCGGGAGGAAAACCTCGTGACTCCGTTTTGAATGACGCGCGGCAGCAGGGAACAGCATATTTGGCATCAGCGTTCCAAGCTGATTCCAATAGTATGTGTCTCATTCCGAAAGCGCGAGCTAAGTTAGGTAGCTTCCTTTGTTAGATAACGATAAAATAACAGTGGTTTGCAGAGGTCACTGAACATGATAGATACGAGATGCACCATAGCGGTAAGAGCAGCCGACCCACCTTCTTGAGTAGGAGGATGTGGGGATGGCTGGTGTAGATGTTACAATACCACCTTCTGGATTCTCAACACCCAAAACAGAGAATTTTGCACAGCTACCATTTCCTCTCTTCTGCAACAAAAATTTTCAGTCAGACATAGGTGAGTCGAGAAATTAAGATTTATGAGTGAAAACACGAGACATCACAAACCAATAATTAGCTGTCTTGGCTTTCCAAACTCATTCACATCAAATCCACGGATCTGATTATGATTATCGAGCTGCTCCTCTGACACACGCAGCAGCGTCCTCTTCAACGTATGCTTCAATTGCCTCGATGCGCGTACCGATGGCACTTCCTCAGGCATTGCGGATAGCGCAGGGACAGTGCGGATGTGTAAAACGTAGAATACTGTAAGTACGCAGGCAGAAGTGAGACACTGCAAAAAATCACCCAGCTGGTTAATGCGAATATAAGCTATTCTATTAGCTATGACATCGCACGGTTCCCGTCTTAACTAAAGGAAAACATTAGGTGCACAGCTAATGAACAGCAAAGCAGTGAAAATATGTAACAAAAACTACAGAAACAAGGAAAAGGACGGAAGATTGCAAAAAATTATGGTGAGCAGGAAAAATCGG